AGACAGGGAACCAACTCAATGGCACATGGCAACAACAACAAATAGTGTCATAAACGAGAAAAATAGGAGAAAATATTGAAAAAAAAAGAAAACACTAAACAAAACTAGGGAGAGTAAAGACAAAAAGATAAAGAGACTAGAGAGTAGTAACAATCAAGGGAGCAGAAAAAAGAGGAAGACATGAGAAAAGAGAAACAGAAGGAAAAATAGTAACAAACAAACAAAAAAGAATAATGAAAGAAGAAGAAAACAAAACAATGTAGGTGCTGGATCCAGAGAGGAAAACTCTGGGGAATCCTATTAATCAAGGAGCTTACAAGGTGGTTGGAGAAGGGATGAGATGGCAGAGTTTCTGGCCCTAAATGGAGTTTCTAAAGGCCCAGACATTGTCAGTCTTTATCAAAGGGTCGCTAGGGCTGGACAACCATCCACAGAGGCTCTCGCCAGTCCAAGGCCAATCAGATGGTTCTTTATATCTGGAGCAGAGCCCACTCAAATCCACACACCAAGGTGGCACTGTGAGCACTTACCTCCCAGACAGCAGGGGGCTGACTGGGGTGAATGATGTTGGGGGATGGTCACTCCTCCAGTCACCAGGGGAGCAGGGTGAAAAAGAAACACACCTTTCTTGTTGTCAGTCCCCAGTGTGAATCTGTGCTGTCAAGCTGTGTCTGTCTCAGAAGTTGCCAGCAAAAGTTCAAGACTGCTGGGAGACCCTTCACCAATATGTCTCCTTCCTTCCCTGCCCTGCTCAGCCTTTCCTCCCAGGAAGTGTTCCATTCACTTCTTCAACCTTTCTTCTGAAATTCAGGGTTCCAGAATTACCATCTGTGTGTGTTTCATTTATTCTCCTCTATCTTTGTTGCAGAGGGTCTGAGTAGCGTACCTACCTAGCCTGTTGTTTTAACAACAATGACCTATGGATCTTAGGACAGAAGCCTGCAGAAGTCTTAGCCTACTGCCTGGACTATAGATTTTAGATTTACCAGCCTCCCACAATCTCATGAGCTAGCAGAAGTCTCCAGTATGTCGCCTAACCTATGAATTTTGGGCTTTTCAGCACCATGATTGTATGAGTCAATTCTCTTGAAGTAAATCTGTCCATCCATCCATCCATCCATCCATCATCATCATCATCTCACTGGTTCCACTTCTCTAGAGAATAAGACACCCACTTTGGCACTGTCTTCTCAGTTCAGCCTTGTGTGTCCTACTCCTTGCAAAGCCCAGTCAGATACTCCACGTGTGGCCCTTGGAGTGTGCCCAGGGAGTTCCTGCAGCACTGTGAGGTCTGGCTTACCTGCAATCGTATCTGCAAGGAGAACAAAGGGAATAGTATTCTTAGTTATTCGAAGTCATCACAGAAACTGTCCCTGACATTCACTGAGGGCCTGCTTATCCCCTTGGCACCACACCAAGAACTTTAGTTACAGGTTAAAGTTAAAGAAATCAGCCACAAAATACACCTTCAGCTGTTGATTTAATGAAATGTCAAGCCTCCCACTTGGCAGATGGGGGGTTCATTTCCAGGCCAGATCTGTCTTATCAGCATTTAGCTATAGTCTCTCTTTAGGCTGTGGATGGCTTCTGAACGGGCATATGATAGAAGCACAGGTGGGGGAAGGGGCTGTGAGTCTCAGGGGGAATCTGGGTTCTGCCACCTCTTTAATGTGTGAATCTGGACAAGTTATTTAACATCTCTGTGCCCTAACTTCCTCATCTACTAAAATGGGGTTGGGGTAGGAGGGATAGAATCTACTTCTTGGTATTGTTGTGACTCACAACTTGTGAACAACAAAAAAATAGGACAACATATACTAAAATATCTTTTTCATTGTTAGAGAATAGAAGGATGTGGCCAGTTCTCCACATTGCACATAACAGCTATTTAAGGATCTGTGTATAAAGTCCTGGGGTGGCACTGTATAAGAACTGAACTGCTAACCACGGGTTCAAGTCCACCTGCCATTCCTTAGAAATCCTATGCAGGGTTGCTAAGAGTCTGAACTGATTTGACGACACTTAACAACAACAACAACAACATAATAACCAAAAAGGACCCTAGTGGTGCAATGGTTAAAAGGCTTGGCTGGAAACCATAACGTAAGGTTGGTGGTTTGAAACCACCAGCTGGCCCAGAGCAGAAAGATGTGACAGGCTGCTTCCATAAAGATTTATAGCATTGAGTAGCCTATAAGGCAGTTTACTTTGTCCTACACAGTCACTATGAGTTGAAATCAACTTGACAGCAGTGGGTTTTTGTTGTTGTTGCTAAGTGCTGTAGAGTCAGTTCCAATCCACAGTGACCCTACATAGGGTTTCTGGGGAGCAGCTGGTGAGCTTGAATCACCGACTTTGTGGCTCAAACTGCATTAACTCACAGCGCCACACCAGGACCCAGAAAGCTTCCTGGGTGGTAGACATGGTTTGTGTTTGACTACATTTAACTGGTGGTTAAATCCATCCAGTGACATCACAGAAGAAAGGTGTGGCAATTGGCTTCTATAAAGTCAAGAAGACTCTATGAAGCAGTTCTACACTGTAGTACATGGGCCACCTTGAGTTGGAGTTGAGCTGATGGCAGTGGTATAAGACCAGGCCAGGTGCCTCCGAGGAGCTTCTGATTCATGGCGCCCCGTGTATGTCAGAGGAGAACTGTGCTGCATAGAGTTTTCAAAGCTGACTTTTCAGAAGTAGATTTCCAGGCCTTTCTTCCAAGGTGCCTCTGGGTAGGCCTGAACCTCCAACATTTAGGTTAGCATTCAAGCTTGTTAACTGCACTACTCAGGGACTCAGTGATAGTAACAATCTCCATTTTCTAGTCAGAGAAATTGAGGCTCATAAGGGTAAGTACTTTGCCCCAAGATTATACAGCCCATGGAAGGCAGTCATGATTTCAACCCAGGACAATGTTACTCTAACACAGGGATGGGGAACCTTTTTTCTGCCAATGGCCATTTGGATATTGATAACATCATTTAGTATATATTTGTAGTGCTATGAACAAAGTTTCCAGATTTACTGAATTTCGAGTCCCACCTATGGTTGCCTTAGCAGGGCCAGGTTAGACGTTCCCCAGGTTAGACGTTTCCCCATCCCCATTTTAATGCCTCACACTATACTTCAGCTTTAAATAACTCCCAGTTAAATTAAACTCTCCCAGGCTGGACCCTCATACACTGCTGGCAGAACTGTAAAATGGTACAACCACTGTGGAAAACAGTATGGTGCTGTCTGAAAAAGCTGGATGTAGAAATATCATATGACCTAGCAATCCCTCTATTTGGCACACATCCTAGAGAAACAAAAGCCATGATACACCCATGTTCATTACAGTACTAATCTCTATAACAAAAGATGGAAACAACCTAAATGCGCACCAATAGAAGAATGGATAAACAAACTATGGTACATACACACAATGGACTATTATGCAATGTTAGAGAATAATGACGCATCTGTGAAACACCTCACAACATGGATGAACCTGGAGGAAATTGTTGTTAAGTGCCATTGAGTTGGTTCTGACTCACAGCAACCCAATACAGGGTTTCCAATGAGCACCTGGTGGGTTTGAACTGCCAACCTTGTGGTTAGCAGTCCAGTATTTATCCTACAGCACCACACCAGGAGTGAAATTAGTCAACCATGAAAGGACAAGTATTGTATGATACCACTAGTGTAAAAAGTCAAGAAAAGCTCTTCACACTAGAAGATACATTCTTTGATGGTTCCCAGAGGATTTTTGGGTACGGGGGTTGTGTGTAAAGGCAAGGCAAGTTACTGACTAGATGGTAAACATGTGCTAACCTGGGTGACAAGAAAGACAATATAAAAAAGATGGAGGTAGGAGAAAACACTGGAGGAGTGCAAGAGGTCAAGGTAACAGAGGTAAATACTGTGACATATACAACCCTTCAGTGACGGTGGGCTGTGAGTTGATACACAGATAGACACAGGGAAGGGAGAGTGGGATAGATAGAGGTTTGACAGAGGGCATTTCTACATGGGTATTTACCTTTGCTGCAAATGTTTTTATGTAGTAAAGCATACAAGGGGTAATGTTAATGAAAACTTCTTAGACATTACCAAACACCTTGAAGGAACGAGTTGCTGGGCCTGGGGGCTCGAGGGACATCAAAGTCAATGGGCATAATACAATCCACACAGACAGTATTCTACATCCTACTTTGGTGAGTAAGACTGGGGTTTTAAAAGCTTGTAAACTGCCACCTAAGCTGCAACTATATCTCTGTATGGATCAAAGAAGAGTGAAGAAAATCAAAGTCTCTTGGAAACAATTAATCCATTGGACTATGGACCATAAGAACCTCAGCTTCCACGACCCTGAGACCAGAAGAACTAGATGGTGCCCAGCTACTACAACTGACCGCCCTGAACGGAATCACATTAGAAGGTCCTAGATAGAGTGAGAGAAAATGTGGAACAAAACTCAAAATCATAAAAAAACAACCAGGCATACTGGTCAGATAGGGACTGGTGGATCCTGTGACTTTGCCGTTAGTTACCTTTCAGGTCTGGAACTGAACTCACCTCTGTGACTCAATTGTTAGTCAAACAATAGAAAGATTGATAAGGTGCATAATGACACTAGGGAGGCAGGCATTCATTAGGAGAGTTAGCCATTTGTGATCAAAAGGGCAGCATTTGCTCCAGGACAAAGTTCAGAAGGCAAGGAAAGGAGGAGGAATGGAAACCGGAAACACAGGGAGGCAGTGGAATAAGTGATGTTACACTGTGGGGATTACCATCAACGATTGAAACAAAATGTATATGATCTGTTGAATGGAAAACGAATGATCTGCTCTGTATACCTTCACTCAAGTCAAAACAAAAAGTTAAAAAATAAAATAGAACACATTTTTAAACAAAACCAACTCTCCCTCATCCTTAGAGCCTAGTCAGGCTTCATCCTAAGCTGTCAACCCTTATCCATCTTCATCCCCAAACACATTCCAGGATAACTATGCCCCTCCTACCTGAAATAACTGGAACTTCTGGGCAGCGCATGCTCACGGTGTATCTGAGGCAGTCGTTCTGACAGCTGCTGAAGAAAGGCTGGATCTGTGAGAGCAGAAAGGGCAGGGAAAAGAGGGACTATCACCCACAGCTCTCTGCCCGAGGTTATTGGAGGGTAATGGTCCCTGGGTGGCTTCTCCATGATCTCCAGAGAGCTGTTAGGTCCAGTCTTCCACCTAAGAGGAGAGGTCAAAGGATCCCTGCCCAGGTGAGACTGGGAGAATGGGACTGGAGAAAGGTCGAGATGGTGCCTGGCCAAGCAGTGGATCCTACACTGGGTCCTTGGAGAGAGCGCAAGTCCAAGAACTGCCCTCCTTGTCTATCTAACAGGAATGCCCAGAGGTACACACATTCCCATAATCACCCACCTTCACTTGATGATGGCAGCATCCACTGAAGTTGCTGAGAGGCAGTGTGACATTGCAGCGCCGATGGAAATTCTCCTGGCTGGGCTTAAGAGAGAGGAGAGGATGGGTAACTTTAGTTGGAATAAGAACTTTTTGGAGTGCCTGTTTTATAAAGGCTAAATGAAAAAATGCTTTTCAGGCCTCCATTCAAAAAAAAAAAAATTTCTCCAGAGCCTCAGCACAGGTATTTTTCCCCCTCTTTGCATTGGCTGCTGGAAATTGTAGAGACAAATCTACATTCACACCAGGACAACATGCATTTTCTATACTAACCATATTCCTGGCTTCATCTTACTTAGTTCCTTATCTTTATCTTCCTTTTGTTTTGATTTCTATATTTATCTTTTAATCCTCAAACTCTTTGGGGGAATAAAGCAGAAAAAGCCAAGCAAAACAAGCAGGGTAAGTGCTGTGAGTCAGTTTCAATTCATAGTGATCCTGTATAGGGTTTCCAAGGATTGTTTGGTGGGTTTGAACCACCAACCTTGTGGTTAGCAGTGAACTAAGCGAGAGGGATTAAAAAAGTAGCAAGAAGTTACCGCGGGAATATGCTTTCTGGATTCAAAGCAAGAGTGGTCCTCCATGTGCGGAAAACTGGTCAGCAGGATACCATAGTCGCTGGATTCGTTCCACAGGGTGAAGCTCACCACCAACTGATGGTTTTCTAGCTTCTCCAGTGTGACATTGGGATCCCACAAGCTGCCTGCCGAGGGCACAAACACAGGGCAGGGGTGAGGATGTGTGTGTGTCTGCGCATGTGGGTACGTTTGTATGTCTGTGCTTCCAAATAAAGTTCTCCCCACTCCTTCATAGGGTGGCCAGCAAGTTACCTATTCTCACACATGGTGTGGTGATCTTCATCGTGGGGTGCTTGCAGCCTGTCAAATCAGAAAAAAAGAAAAACCACTGAGCTTCTACCTAAGAAGTTGAGTTTTCCAGACTCCCAACACCAGGGATAACAAATATTTTCCTTTTAGGGACGTCTGTTCAGAGAGGAAGGAACCCTGTTGGCACAACAGTTAAAGAGCTTGGCTACTGATCAAAATTTGGTAGTCTGAACCCACCAACAGCCCTGAGGGAGAAAGACAAGGCAGTCTGCTTCCATAAAGATTGCAACTTTGGAAACCATATGGGGTAATTCTACCTGGTCTATAGGGTCACTTGAGTTGGAATGGACCCCACAGCAGTGGGGTTTTGTGTTACGCACATAGCAAATAGATGTGTGTCAGCGTGTGGGGGTGGAGATGCTTCAAAGATCACCACCCTCATTCTCAACAAGCATTTCCTGAGCACCTTCTATATGCAAGGCTTTCTGCTAGGTCCCAGGAGTACACAAATGGGTATAACACTCACCTTGTTCTTAAGAGAGCTGGGGTTCCAGAAGCAGCTAGCTTTGTTCAATGGGAAATGGTGTAGGTAATGGGAAAGCACTGGAATTTAGGGAAGGACAGAGAAGGTGCACATTTGAAAGAAAAATATGGTAGTATTCATGGGCAAGGTTTAGCAATGAGAGTAAGAGTAAGTGCAGTGTTAAAGAAATGCAGACAGATTTTGAAACCAAAAGTTATGAGCAACATGAGACTAAGACTAGCCTGGGAGCAGGGGTTAGAACTTTTCTAAGAGTAGTTTGTCTTGCTGATATTTTTCATAGAGGAAGCACTCTTAGGGTTTTGGGTCGATTGCACCATTGGGCCAATAGGTAATGGTCTATGCCTTCAAGGAGTAGAGGTGCCAGTCTCAAGCCAAGGACTCTCAGTGCCTCATGTGTGTTTGTCCCGTGAGTGCCACATGTTGACAATGGCAGCCATTGTCTAGCTGAGCAAGGAGGCTGATGTTTGAGCAGGTTGGCATCTTCTCACAAAACTCAGTGTGAAGAGGATGGTTTGGGAGGATGCTCTCTTACCAGGCACAGAGAAGTTTCTGGACTTGTGGTTTGGGTCCCCAAAGGGGATGGGCTTGGGCAGGTGGTGCACGATCACCTCATACTTCTGGCCAGGTTCCACCACGAAATGGCTGAAGTTAAAATGCCACTGAAGAGACAGGAAGAAGATACGGTTGGTCATGCACATGGGTGCCCAAAGAATCCCATCCTCACCCGTCCCCTAAAATCAGTCCAAAACAAGAATAAAACAACAAACTGTATCCTTTTCACTTTCATCCCTATATCAAAAAAGCTAGAGCTGGCCTCATTAGCAGATAGTAGTGTCAAATGCAAAAGAATCTTGGGAAAGCTGAAATAGCTACCCTACCCCCATCTACTCTCAATCTCAGAACAATGGGTCTGAGGGAGCTGTAGCCAGAGGACCTTAAGGCTATCGGGGAAAACAGGCACACTAGAGCAAGCAAATACTATTTGTTCCTCCTTAAATGGGAAAGCCAGGAACCTCTGAAGAATGTTTTGGAGCAATAAGCAGAAAAGGGGGGCCGCTTATGAGAAACTCATTAACCCTTGGCCTGCAGGCACTTTTGTTAGGAAAATAAAGAGACTTTTTGCTGTTAATTTCAGGCTGGTGAAGATCATACATTGACTCCAATTCTCATCTTAATTACCCTGGCAGAAGGGACTGGTTGCTATGCCTCTATGTGGATCTAGGCACCTGGTCCTTACCATGACCAATGCAATCAAGTTTTGGGGTCATAATCCCAAAGCACTGAACTGCAAGGTCAGTTTGAACCACAAGGTCAGCCTACCAGCTGCTCCTTGAAAAGCTCAATTCATAGTGACTTTGTATAGGGTTTCCAAGGATTGTTTGGTGGTTTGAACCACACCAAACTTGTGGTCGGCAGTGAACTATGTAAGAGGGATTAAAAAAATAGCAAGCCTACCAGCTGCTCGTTGGAAACCCTATACAGGGTAGCTATGAGTTGGAACTGACTCAACAACACTTAACAACAACAACAAACATGGGAAAGGGGGCTCGTTCTCTGCTGCTGTGCTTCTGGAAGATCTGCTGGGGCGAATTAACTAATGTCTCTTCTAGCCATAAACTGCAACTTCCACCAAACAATGTTTGTGGGTTTGGGTCAAAGGAGGTGGGAGAAGCTACTGATAGAAAGACATGATTCAGCTGTGGATGTTAGCAGAGTTCATTGTAATTATAAAAACTTGAACGTCTAGTATGGGTATAAAATGAACCAGCTCAGAAGCAGGAAGGGGGAACCTCATTACCATTAAAGAAGAGCCAGGAATTGGAGTGCACTCTTTGGACCCTGACATTCTGAGCATTGAACCTCCTCAACCCAAGGACAGAAAGCGGTGACTCCAGAGTTATGATGGAGGAACAGCAGCAGCAGAACCAAGAACCAGAGCATGATAGGAAACAGTCGACTTCCCAGCCCACGGAGTAAGGGACTTTGGACAGGGGGCTTGCTTGTAGAGTGGGGTGCTGCGAGACACTTAAGTGGGGGAGTTAGGTTTACTGACTCACTGAGCTAAAGCAGAGTGCCTTCAGGTTGAGGCTTATAGTGGAGCGGTGTACCCCGTGGGCATTTATCAGCAGCTATCTGGAACAACTGTGCCCTGAGCAATTCTGATTCCATATTTGTAACCTGTTAACTTGCCTAATAAAACCTGCAACAGTGAATATGGTGTCTGAGTTCTCGGTGGCCATTGCAATGGATTTCTGAATCAAGTGAAGTAGCAAGAATTGTGGAAGGAATGGTTGGTGCTTCACCTTTTTTAATTTTTGCATCTGCAAATGATCACTAGTTCTAAATCAGTGGTTTTTCTAAACCACTGGGAGGATGAGTGAAATGCCAACTGCTGGGCCCCACCCTCACAGTTTCTGGCTTAGTATGTCTGGGTGGAGCCCAAGAGTCTGAATTTCTAGCAAGTTAAGAAGATAATGATGCTGCTAGTTCTAGAACCACACTTTGAGAACCTTTGCTTTAAATGAAAAGAGAATCAATATTTTGCCCTCTGAGTGTGAGCATCAGTGTAAGACTCTTAGATTGTGTCTCACTCACAGCAATTCTTTGGTCAGGGCAAAGATTTTCCTTCTTGGAGGGAAGCCCCAGGTGAATCCAAGTTACAAATAAAGATGGCAAGAGCTAGGGCCAAGGAAGTCTTTCAAGTCTCCTTTCTTCAAGAATCCATAGTTAAGGCTGGAATCACAGCAAGGGTGGAAGAATGCTTGGGAACTTGAAGTAAACATGATTTCCTCAGACTCACAGCACCTCTGGTCTTCACTGTTCCTAACTAGGAAGACCCTGAGTTTTTCAGAGGAGCATGGTTTACTCAGGATCTGAATTCTTACCCGTTTGTGATGATGCGTCAATCTGGAGAGGAACTCAAACTTGACACACAGATGCTCATTGGTGCCTTGATGCAGGACAGAGAGCTCTGCACCTTCCAGGAAGAGGATGCTGGCTGAGGGTCAGAGGGAGGTGAAGAGACAGACAAACAGATCAGCTAGGACAAACCTCTGGGTGTGGCACTTCTTTGTCTGTTAAGTGCCTTCACACTTACAAGGCAATATGCCTGTCTTACACAATTCTCCACTTCTCGTTCCTTTTGAGTGAGTACTCTTGGGCTTCAGCTAGCCTATTGCCTCACAGTTCCTTCTCAGCTGAAGAAAAAGGAGACTACACTGGGCTTGGAAGCACAGGTTTTGCATCTTTATGGCTGAAGAGCTGACAATATGGCATGGGTGTCCAACACAGTCACTCCCACTGTTCAAGAGGAGGTTGTAGTTGTCCGTGGTGAGAATTCAGGCAGGGGACTTAAAACAGAGTTTCCCATGCCCTGTGTACAAATCTGGGGGG